GTGAGCCGGCCCGCCGGCGCATGGGCACCTGGATCGGCACGCGCGGCGGTGTTCTGGTGTCGCGAAGGGGCCCACGCTCTGAGGAGTTTCTTGTTGAAACAATATTGAAACCATGCTTGGCGGTTGAGGTAGAAGCTCGTTGCATTCGCTACACGCTCCAATGCAGTACAGTAACCTGTGTACTTGGGAAAAAGACAGTTCGTAGAAATGGTGAGGCTGTCGTAGTTAAATTTCGCATACAAGAACATCATAGGTACACCATGAAATTATACGTACGCGCTGTTTGACTGACGAGATGAACTCACGCATGCAGTTGTGCAAAGCACATATACGCAATTTTTTTGCCTACAATGCCGACCAGTTTTTTTTTTTTATATAAAAGCGAACAAAACATAAAAAGTGCCTTAGCTAGAAAGAAAAAAAGATTGTGCGCCACCTCTGTTAATTTCAACGCACCGGGTTTTTTATTTGTTGTTGAACGCGTGATCTGACAAGCCTAAAACGCTGGCGGACAGGACATTTGATATTTCACATCAGAGAGATCACAATAATTCAAAAGTTCCCGCAAGCTTTTAACAACGTGTGAAGCCAACCGTTACATCAATGCTGGTTTCAACGGCATATCAGTGATGATAATGCGATGTAACCACCAACGTTTATATGCTCTCTTTGGCAACACAAACCGCTTACAACAATGCTGCTGTGCTGTTTTATTAGTTATATAGAATAAGAGTGGCTGATGTGTGTTCGTGCAAAAAAAAAAGGGGGGGGGGGGGGGTAATACGCGTGGCGTGTAATCCTCGAAAAGAAAGAAGGAAACGAGAAATGTTTGCGCGCCAACACCCCCCTATTATTATGAGGGACTCCAAGTGGTAGTAACAATACTGATTGTTGGCCTAGTTGGTTTTTGTTTACTGACATGCTTTGCCCGCAAAATAACACACACAAAGTAAAGAAACACAAGAGCCGCTTGTGCTTGTCGTTAAGTGTTTCTTTACTTTGTGTGTGTTATTTTGTGGGCAAAGCATGTCAGTATCCAAGTGGTAGTGTCTCTAGAAATTTCACTATCTGCCATTTAAAAAGATAATAATAAATATTATGAAAAATTGACGAAAACACGGAAACTCTATTAACAAGGTGCGAATGTTCCGCTAAATAAAGTTCACACATTTTTAGGTAATTTGGTTGTATTTTTGGTAGATTGTCATCGCGCGGCGGCAGCACGTGACTCTTGCAGTCACATTCTCCGAGGCGCACGCAGGGTGCAGGTCTTCAGACCCTTGTCTTCTCTTTTTTCACCTCTTCTTTCATCGTACTCTTTCCTTACACAAAAGCGCTGATGCTTTGTCTCCAAGCCGGGAGCATTACTCGCTGCCAGTGCCATTCGTAGTGGGTTAATTCAACGCCAAACAAACCAGCCATTTTGGCAACCACCTCAAACAGATTCGAAGAAATATTCTGCTGATTTACTGCATTGAAAGCAGTGCGTCACTAGAATATTTCGGGAAGAAAGAAATGTCACGTGAGTGCTTTCCAAATTTATCCAAATGTCGAATGGCTGTTCATGAAAAAACTTATTTTTTTTTAACTGTCACTCCCTCTTTCAATAACAAATTTATTTTATATATAAATAATGGTGACTGTGCAAGGTGTTTCAGGCTGATTATTATTAGCGCAATTTTTTGGCTACATACAACTACAAGAATTTAGCCGAAAGGGGTTACGTTTGCAGTTTTTTTATTGGATTACTGCTCTTTTATTGAATATCTGAGAAATAAGTAATTCCTCCATAGAAGGTATATTTTGCAAAAACATTTACATTGCACCCCTCAAGTCACTAAACTTTGCTAGAAAAAAATCACAAATTCCCCAAAATCCTCAACTTTGTCCACATTGAGGCCAATTTGCACCACGTTGCAGTCCATTGAAAGATAATATTTATATTCAAATGGAAAGCAAATAAGCAGGTATTTTATATGTAATTTTACTTTACAATTTTTGTTTCTTGGAAGAAAATAATTTTTGAAGTTTCCAACTGGCGGCTATCTTCCCATTCGGTTATATGGCAGCTTCCCTCTAGTTTCGCGTGGCCCCTGCATTCTTAAAGACAGACAGGGCGTTTCCTCTCTGCCTGAGTATAAATCGACGACATGCGTCGCAAGCGGGTGATGTTATCGCATGCGCCCTGCGTGCGACTGAGATGAGTCGGCTTGCTTCCCCTTTTGCTTCAACCGCGTTCGTAGGGCTCACTCGCGTTCATTTACCCACGGCTAGAACATACGATTTGTTGGGGACTGTTTTCGATTTGGGCTTTATGTGGTGTGTGACGGCAAAGCCTATATGAGAAACACGTCAAGAGTATTAATATCACAGTGAAAAGATTAAAGAAGAACCATGAATATACGAATGTTAGTTACACGCACCCAGGCTCTCTGTCAACAAATCGTTCCCCCTAAAAAGTGGCATGGTAGTGATATTTCGGCTAGAAAATAACTAATCAGAGCGTCCAACTTCTAGACTTTTCCGTGTGGTCCACTGAAGAAGGACATTATTTCTGTACTTACAATAACAGCACTACGTCCGTTAGCATCCCCAGTCATTTTCTCCTTCTTCGCACAAACTGATAGGCACCTATGACCTTTATGTAGATCTTTGGTGTGCCTCTGAGGGACAGTTTTTACAGTGCATACAACAAAAAGTCCTGACAATAAAGAACTTTTTTTCATTTTTAAATCTTTCCTCACATATTCTCTACAGATCAGCTTTGACGATCAAATAAACTTAATGAATGAACTTGTTACGAAGATGAAGTAAAAGAAGAGGAAAGACAGAATTAGCTGACAGGTGCGCGAGTGCGCCAATCAGCTATTGTGACTCTTGCCTGTGGGTTTTCCTCTGTAAATGCATTTTGTACAGAAGTCACTGACCCCGTAACAATATTGGTTCGCTTACAGTTAAGGCCCGTTCAATTAGGCTCTTGCGTTACAATAGACGATTGTAGTTCGGAGTTTCAGGCCGCCAAGTAAATGGAATAGCGGATCATACTCAAGTTTTTTTTTAAAGCAAGCAGCACTGCAATAAATGTCGGCTGCACTGAGGGTGCCAATATTAAAAATATTTGGTCACGGGAGCGGTCATAAGTGCGGGATTGAAGGGCAGGTGCCCGCACAGTGTCTGGCGTGTTCCGGTGCATTGCGACGATGTTTCTATGTTTTTGTCAGATAGATTTCAATACAGCCGGGGATAACTTCAATGCATGTCCCTCGGAACTGACACAATGGTATATGCAGCCGCAAATAAGCCACATATGAGCTCGCGCTGTGCCAATGACATGCCTTCATTGGAGTTCCATCCTCGTTTACCACCACAGATGCAACAACCGCTTTTTTTTTGTCAAAAGCGCACTCAATTCATTAGTGCAAAAATGAAAAAAGAAATAAAAGTGACAGTTCCACAGCAAAGCTGAAGCAATGAATTCGATAACAAGTTTTCATGTTGTACAAAGTAAGGCTGGTAGATAACTCCTTTGAAACTGATCTCATGCAACTGCACAAGACGCTATACTGTAAGAGAATACGTCCTCTACAAGGACACGTTTCGCACTGTCATCTCGCATTGAGAGCGCACAAGTAGAACAATATATAAACTGTCCGCTGATGGCTGTCGAGACGAGACATCACTCCACCAGATTGACGCGGATTGCCCAGCTTAGCAACAGCCTCTAAAATTCTTCAGGCCTCTTTTCAACCTCTTTTTCACGCGTGCTGCGTAAGCAAAGTGTACAGCAGCCATGTTTTTTTTCTGTCCGGCGCACAGAAAAAAGCTTACCTTTTTCTAGCTATTCCACGGAAGCATTTCACGCCAACAGTGCATTTGAAGCTAAAGAATTTAACATTGCTTTAACAGGCTTGTGAATCTTGGTTTCTCTACCTACAACAAATGTAATTGCTGAAAGCGAATACTCTTTTTGTACACAATCAGACTACTTTAACACAACGATGAAGAACTATCATTTCTCGTGAATAGACTCAGCAGTGGGGTGCGTTTGTAAATGAAAAGTGCTAAAAAAGGCATTCTTCTCACAGTTTAGTTAAACGAACTTCTATTTTGCTGTTACTGTCGTAAACTACGCCTGGTTTTATCTCTGTGCTTTGTTTTTCGCATGTTAATGTGTGCAACCATTCTCCGGTGCCAAGCTTGTTACGAAGCAAAGATTGTGACAAAAAAAACTTCCTTCTCATGATGTGATGCCAAAAATTAAACATAGGTAGTCAAAAACGAAAATCTAATTTCCAATTGTTGCAGATATAGAAATCCGCCTCCGAAGGTGGTTTTACGCTTATCACTGTTTCATGTTTTCTTTATTTTTCCATAATTTAGTACGTAAAGCACAGTTAACAAATTATGAAGGAACAGCTAATAGCGGGTTATAATGACGCGCAGTGTGTTTCATGATTAACGCACTTATAAAAGCCGCTTTTTCTTGTGTTTTGCGCACGCGGGCTACATGGTGTCGTATGGCTCCGTCTTACGAGATAAAAACTATGTGCATAATGCTGCACTTGTGCCCAAGAAAGCTTCTCAAAGACATGACATAGTATTTTTCCCCATCACAGACTTCAGTCAAAGCGAGCGCGACTCTCCAAAATAAATGACTGCAGCACACACGCAGACAACTGAAGTGACGTCATGCAACCCTTGGAAAGACCTTAGGCTAGAGGGTGTTGCTGCAGCTAGGCGATATTGTGGACAAAAAAGCACGGCTTGGGAAAATGGTAACATTTTCCCAAGCAGTGCTTTTTATTGTCTGTATACTTGCCTGGAGGCAAAGTTCTTTTTAATTACGGTGCCAATGATGTACTTCGGTTTTACATAAAGCGCTTAAGTAAGTCACAAACAAAATTAGTGCGTAAATGAAGATGATGTTTTCGAAATAGTAGCACTGGGTACTGTCAACTAACGTATGCCTATTTCTTTCTTCTTTCTCAACAACGCTCTAGGTACACCAAGACAAGGATGATCTCGGACGCGGAAATTTCTCGGACAGCCTCACAACGGGACACTCTGGAAGTCGAATAGCCTGTTGCGTCATTGGTATCGCAAACTAGGAAGATTTTGCGTATCCTATAATATGGGTACACAGCATGACAGGATATAAGCGAGAGGTGTCGGCCTTGCAAGAATGTTCAGCCGAAGATGAAGTAGCTTGTGTAGCGCACAGATATGTTTAGTTGACCCAAAAGAAAAAAATCCGATATATATATATATATATATATATATATATATATATATATATATATAACGAACGCATTATTCGGAGGCCGTAGGTTCAATTCCTGCTCACGGCAAGTTATTTTTCCTCCACTTTTCTTTCTTCCTTTACATTAACTTGGTCCTAATAGCTGCCCCTATACATTCCCTGGCAACATTGTCTGTTATATCTCATTAATATTGTGTGAAAACATGAAAAAACGAGCCATTAGGTATACACTTCCTTCCCATATATACACACACACACACACACACACACACACACACACACACACACACACACACATATATATATATATATATATATATATATATATATATATATATATATATATATATATATTGATGACTGCTGGTACTTGTAGCGTTGTGTTTTTCGTTTTAAAAAGTGGGCACAGCAAAGCATTTGGGGTGCGAAGCCTGAGGAAAAAGTGAAGCTTGAGGCCTTCCACTCCTGTTCCTTTTCTCACTTTTTTTTGCCATTCTTCCTATTATATACTAAGCAAGATTGTACATGACCCTCTCCTGCCAAAAATACGCAACTAGTATATTAAGTGCAAAGGTATTATCCTAATTGCGTATTCTTGGCAAGTGACTAAGCAGCGAAATAAAATGTCGTTTCATTCAAGCACTATTATTTACACTGAATTAATAGGCTCTACCAAAGAAATCTCTGGTGTTCTTCTTTATTTCTTCATTTTGATTATTCCAAAATTCTAACGGTATGCGTGTTTTTTCATTCATAGCGAATAAAAAGAAGCTTTTTTATGAAGTGAGCAACTTCATTTGAATGATTAATATGTGGGGTTTAACGTCCCAAAACCACCTTTCGATTATGAGAAACGCCGTAGTGGAGGGCTCCGGAAATTTCGACCACCTAGGGTTCTTTAACCTGCACGCAAATTTGAGCACACGGGCTTAGAACATTACCGCCTCCATCAAAAAAGCCGCCGGTATTAGATCCTGTACCTGCAGGTGAGCAGCCGAGTACCTTAGCCACTAGACTACCAGGGCGGGGTGAAAATGTAACCTTAATGCTGAAAAAAAGACACAAATCTAATAATAATATCAGTTTTTTTACGTCCGAAAACCACGATGTTATTATGAGACGCCATAGTGGAGGGCTCTACAAAATGGAACCACTTGATGTTTTTAATGAAAATAGAAAAAAAAACGATAGGTCACCATTGTTTAGTCCCGTCATTATTATGCACTCACATTGCTGTTTGATATATAGAGTTTCACGTCCCAAAACAATAATATGATTATGAGAGACGCCGTAGAGAAGAGCTCTGAAATTTCGACCACCTGCGACTATGTCACGCACGCCCAAATCTTAATGTGCCCTCACATGGCAAAATACTCGGGCTTTCAATACTTCGGCTTCACTGAAGTTTGATCGTCACATAGCCAGGATGAAGCACGTGCCTTCAGGCCAAAGTCAGAACACCGGAAGTAAGTGTCTACGGGCATCAATGCGACAGAGTCACCATGACACAGCAGAGATTCATGTCACACTAATTTTGCCGGCGCTGCGTGCGTGCCGATTCTTTTGGAGCCGCATTTCGCCTTCACGGATTTCTTTTCTGGAAGAGAAGTGCTCCCGAAGAAAAAGTGTATAATGAACTTTTGCCCGGTTCTCTTACCCGCAGCACATGTATAAAGAATAAGCGTGAGTAAGCTGTATAGAATGTGTACTTGTACGCATTCATTTCTACGAAGGAGAAGAAATTTTAACGGTACTTTAGAGAAAGGACCCTATGATACAGTTGTGTCACGCAATACGAATCCTTGTATATAATAAGCTTGCGAGGTGACCGCGAGTGCATTATGACCGTGTCAGGCCTATTGTATCGTGTATGCTAGGTACGCCATGATTTTCATGTTACCACCTGTCACTTGTGTGCGACATACAGGAGCGTCAAGCAGTACTACTTTCGTTGTTTGTAAAGTAAGTGAAACGACTGCATGTAAGCTAGCATATGTAAAAATAAGTGCATACGCATAAAACAGCATCAAAACTCAAAAGCGAACCGAATGAAAAAATATTGCAGTGGATATGTAGCAGTCAGCTTTCATGACGCACTCAACGGAGCAAGTGCGCCTTAGGGCATCAATTTTGCGGCAACCTAATTAGAAACGACAATGTTATTCCTCCTGAACCTCCACGGCAACGATGCAAAACACGCTGCTCTAGCACATGGCGAACAAAATTACTTCCCAAAACAACATTTGCCAATTCTTAATAAGGTTCCTACCTCACATAGTCGTGTATCACCTGTGGGAGTGAACTTTTCCCGCCATATTGTGCGCAGCGACACAGCTCGTCACTTGGCGTAATTTTTTTCCTCTGGGAATAAGGCTTCGCTCGTTTCCCGCCACTTGCGGAATCCTAAACCGCAGCACCCGGAAATTTTTTGATGGCTCAACAAGCGTCAATTTAAGCGTGCAAACTACTCTTGCAGTCTAAGTTTTGCTGAACGCTTTTCCGAGGTTATAAAAAGAATCGCCCTCCAACGCGCCGAACTCCGCTGGCCGAGAGAGACTGGTGAACCGAGCGAGTTGGACCTTTTCTGTGGCGAAGCCCACCGACTGCACGCGGTGGTGAAGAGAAAGAGAAGGCGGTACTATCACCGTTCCAGTGACTCTAACAGTAACCATCATTTAGTGCAGCCTAGAGGAACAGAATCGAAGCTGTATTATCAAATTTCTAGTCGATAACTTTGTTGAATGCAGTCGCGTAGCGTGATGCTGTCTTTAGTGCACCAGACTTCAAAATTAGGGTATGTATATTATCATCCAGCCACGCTCAATTCTGCGTTGTTTTCAACGTAAAGAAAAGGTGAACGGTGAGAAGTGGCACTGAAGACGCAGCAGTGAACGAAATGAAGCCGCGGTGCATGCGCACGGAGAGCACGCATGCGCACTAAACCACTGCGCACGGAAATGAACTAGTCTGGCGCTCACTGACTTCAGCGTGAGTATACGACTAAATATGCGCTGCAGATGAAAAAAATTCTGATTACAAATGTTTGGCGGCATTTTTTTTTTGGAAAATCTCTTGGCCTCCTTCGCCGGTCAGCTTACCGTTAAAAAAATGGCACCACAAAACTTGTTGACGCTCTCTTTTAAACAGAACCGTTAATTTTAATTGGAATGTGAAATTTTCGTCATAATCCAAGTGATGAAAAGGAAAGTTTTGCGCAGTTTTTGCAAACCAAATTCATTTTCACAGCTGACTGCACGAACCGCATCGGCGTATTTTCAGTAGTGTGAGCCTGCGGCAGTACGGCGATATTTTTATTCTGCATGTTTTTGCTGAAGGCAAAAAACCTTGCTTGTTGTTTGAAATAACCAAGTGGAATGCTTTAAAAGATGAAATATTTGCGAACGTTTGTCCGTTCTTGCCCCGCTTTCCCGAAAAGGCGCCGTTTTTGGTGTCGGTTATGAGCTCTAAGATCATGCACGAACCAGCACGTTTGGTAAAGGCTTTACATACATTGAGAAGGTTGCTTGAAACGCGTTTTGCAGGCATTGATTACGAATAATTTCGCTTGTATATTTAAATTGTAAGCAGGACAATAATGTGGCCCTGCCGCGGTGGTCTAGTGGCTAAGGTATTTGACTGCTGACCCGCAGGTCGCGGGTTCAAATCCCGGCTGCGGCGGCTCCGTTTCCGAAGAAGGCGGAAATGTTGTAGGCCCGTGTGCTCAAGTTTAGGTGCACGCTAAAGAAGCCCCGCTGGTCAAAATTTCTGGAGCCCTCCACTACGGCGTCTCTCGTAATCATAATGTGGTTGAGCGACATTAAACTTCAGATATCAATCATTCAAGAATGTGCTTTTTGTCCAATCTGCCGTTTCTTTAGCGCTCAGGATTTAAGAGCGATTGAAACTCAACAGTCGGCGGGCTACATGTTAGGCATGCGCATTGAAATGATGAACTTTCTTTTCAGTGCCTCACGGCCTGCACATTTGTTCACTCATAGAACACTCCATGACTCCGAGTTTTTCTACGTATTTTTAAAGTGCACATAATCCAGAATGACTTTCTGCTATATACTGCCGATTATTTAGGAATGAATATTGAGAATGCTCAACTGACTAAGAGAGAGATAGGTTTATTTACAGAAAGGTAGAGAGGTCGGCCTGAGCCATAGCTTGCTCTAGCCTGCTACTCTACACAGGGGGAGGGTAAAGGGGAAAAGAAAGAATATTGAATGGCGATGGTGAGATAGAGAGGGGAGTATGTAGTATTCTTTCTAGCTGAGACAAATTTTATAGCCGCGAATATAGTCCAGTTACTTCCAAAAAGCTTATAACCGCTCTTATGACCACAATTGCACTGTTGGTGTCGGGCCAAGGGCCCAGCACGGTCTCATCAGTTAATGACCTACTGCGATGTCGTTCAGGAGAAGTAATCAGTGTTTGTAGTTCACGTGCGTATGCTTGGCAGACAGAAAATATGTGCTCAAGTGTTTCTGGCACATCACAGTGTTCACAATTAGGACCGGTGTCGCTGCGACCGGTGATATGTGCATAACGTCTGGTGTACGCCACACCAAGACGAATGTGGTGGATCATACTTGTGAGTTGCTGTTTCAATTTAGGGGGCATGCGGAACCTCATTTCCGGGTCCCATTTGTGAAGTCGCTGGTGTCGCCGTTCCGGTCTGGCCCAGTGTTGAAGTGTGTAGCTGCGCATCACGCAGCGAAGCAGGGCGTTCGTGTCAGCTCGTGAAAACGCAATGCGTACTTCAGGGGCATTGCATAGGCATTTTTAGCTTCAGCGTCTGCCTCTTCGTTTCACATCACGCCACAATGCCCGGGAATCTACTGGAAAGTGATAAGATGAACATTTGTTGAAGCAATCTGAATAAGTTCTGCGATTTCTATTGCCAAGCTGTAATACGGACTTTGCTTCATGATGCAAATAATGGTTTGCAAAGCGGGTTTGGCATCACAGAAAATCGTCCAGTCACAAGGTCGCTCTCCGGAAATAAATCTT